TATTAACCTACTAGAGAGCACCATCATATCTTAAGGAGCCTATAGTATATTACCCTACTAGAGAGCTGGTTCAGGTTCATAGTTAGGGCTGATTCAGGTTCATGTTTATAGTTAGGGCTGGTTCAGGTTTATAGTTAGGGCTGGTATATCGTTTCGTATCGTATAATTTTTTTCGTATCATATCGTGGGATTGAGTCGTCTTGAGAATAGAGAGATGCACCCCCCGAATATATACTGGTATAAGGTCTATGTCCTCAGGTGGTCTCTGACATGTCCTACCTATGCTGGTCCAGGGTCTCAGCGGTTTTCCAGTCCGGTAAGGTGCTTGCACACAGCATCACCATGGAGATGACCACAAACAGCATTGAAACAGAGGCGAGGATTTGAGCCACTAGTGAGGACGTGGGCTCCTCGAACGTCCTCCTTATCCTCTCCAGCCAGCGGCTCCGGAGCTCCTCGGGGCTCCGTGGTCTCTCCTCCGGGAAAAAGTGGACGAAGCAGTCGGACATGCGGTCATCGAGGCGTCGCTGGCAGCACGGCTGCAGGTCGGAGCTCTCCAGACCCCAGTATAACATCTCGTTATAGAAGGACAGCTCGCACATGTGCGGCACAAAGCGCAGCTTCCCGTGCTGCACATACAGCATAATGAAGCTGAACGCCTCCGAGTGCCGGTCGAAGAAAAACTCGTTCCTATCGCGGTCATAGTCGTCACAGAGCTCTAGCAGCTCGCTCTCTGACATGCAGCGATGCAGCTGGCTGAGTCTCCTGAGAGGGAGGTGCTTCATCAGATCCACCGGGAAGGAAAACCTGCGACCTCCGACGTTCAGGGTGCAGAGTCGGCTTCCAAACTTCATCTTCTGTTGGTTTAGAATCACAGACCGTTTATTAACTTCATCTTCTGTTGGTTTAGAATCACAGACCKWTTAACTTCATCTTCTGTTGGTTTAGAATCACAGACCGTTTAACTTCATCTTCTGTTGGTTTAGAATCACAGACCGTTTATTAACTTCATCTTCTGTTGGTTTAGAATCACAGACCGTTTATTAACTTCATCTTCTGTTGGTTTAGAATCACAGACTGTTTATTAACTTCATCTTGTCTGATATTTTTATATACAGTGCGTCCTGTGCACTTGTAGGAAGGATCTTCACTGTTCCACTTCTTTGGTTCTGGAGACCTGCATCTGTTCTTTGATAAAGCATGGTGAATTAATTTCCGTCTTGCCTTTTAAAGAAACTAAATTTTCAATTAAAAACGTCGCGGTTTCCAGACTTGTCATTTTTCTTCAAATCTGCTTCCAGAATCCATCTTCTGTCTCCAACAGAAGCCGTTCCATTAAATCAGTTTCCCGCTTTCATCTTCTTAAAAATAAATTGTTCTCATCTGTGCTTGAATAAAATAAACATTTTGTCAGTAACCGACAACATCATGAGTGTTACATGTTTTAATCACCAAATGATATCATTCCATCTCCATTATTATATATTTTCTAGGTAACCATTAGAAATATTGTCCTGTGCTAAAACAAACGTGTTTCGAAAATGTACTGTTGATTTAAAATCTCATTTTAAAAACTCACCAGTGTCCGTGTTGAACATGAAGCTCTTCTTCTCTCCTTTAAATAAGACGATATCTGTGTTGAAGTCAGAATAAATCCCTCCTCCTCCTCCTCTCATTGAACATCAAAAGCAGACATGAATAACTTGTTATTATTTTATTAATAACATGTCGTGGTTGAAGTGAGGAGGTGGCTCCCCCTGCTGGATGATTCCGTCAACTGGAGCTTATTAATGTTGATGGAATATTTCTTGTTGGAGGATATTTCTAACTGTTCAGAGACATTGATGAGGAGGAGTCTGTAGACATTGGCAGGCATTGTGTGTGGGAACATCTACTATCAAACAATACATCAATGTCAATGATGAGTATAATACAGCTGAACAAACACCAAGCAGCCACTTCTCAAGTCCAACTAGCTAAAAACATTAGCGTCTTGTGATAGATTAAACAGAGTAAATACCTGTTTTTGAGAGTGATGTCAATAATTCCAGCCGCCAGAGAAGAGTCAACCTACTCCCGCATGGCCAATCTTTCCGGAGTCGATAGGGATTAAAGAGTGCGAGTGCGACCTGGTGTCTTGCAGCAGGTCGTTACAGCAACCCCGAAAAGCTCCCGTAGTCCAGTCGACGTGTGGATTATGTCGACGCAGCCAGGGGTATCCCAGAATGAGGGGGATGGGAGGGGTTTGCAGGATGTGGAATCTGATTTGTCTCGTGGTGGTTGCCGGATAACAGCATGTGTACCGGGACGGTTTGGTTAGTCACCGTTGCCAGAAGATGACCGTCCAGGGTGCTGGCTGGAACAGCCTGTGGAAGAGGTCTCCGGTCGATTCCCAACTGGGTAACAAGGTCCTTGTCCATAATGGACGCGTCTGCTCCAGAATCCAGGAAGGTGGAAATAGTATGGGAGCCCCCGGTTTATAGTAGTTGGGCGTGGAAAAGTGGTCGTTGACAGGCGGAGGATCGGGAATCTGCTCGGCTTACCCGTACCTCCCTCCGCAATTGTAAGCATAATGACCCGCCTGACCACAGTACATGCAGAGCTTTCCCCGTCTGCGTCGCTCCCGTTCCTCCGTGGATAGCCCAGTACGTCCCACTTGCATGGGTTCGCTCGCCTGAGGAAGTGGCTGCGTCGGCGTGTAATCCAGAGCCGTAGCACAAGGAAAGCAAGACGGTTGCCCCCGACTTGGCTGTCCCCGGCGCCTTGCCAGCCGTCTGACCTGGATGCGGCGATCCCCTCTGGAGGTAGTCTCGATAAGTCCGTCCAGGGACGTGGGTAGCTCGATCAAGATGAGTTCATCTTTGATGTAATCCGCTAACCCGAGCAGATATGCGCCACAGTGGGCGTCCATCCCCCATGAGCTTAATCGAGCCTGGGTCCGGAATTCAATGGCGTAGTCCGTGACAGATCGGTGGCCCTGCTGGAGCCTCATAAGCCCTCCGGTGATGTCCGGTCCTCCGGAAACTGCCCGAAAACCTTGCGTAGCTCAGCGGAGAAGGACTGGAAGGAAGCACAGGCAGGAGTACAACGATCCCACTCCGCCGTTCCCCACAGGCGAGCTCTCCCCGTCAGGTGGTTGATGGTAAACGCTACCCTGGCGTCTTCAGACGCGAAAGTGCGGGGCTGCAACGCAAACAGGATGGAGCAGTTCATCAGGAATGTGTTGCAACCCTCAGGATCCCCGGCGTAATGTTCGGGCTCCCCCACCCGGGGCTCCGAGACCGCCGTAGATGCTGCTGGACCCATTCCCGACTGAACCGGAGCAAGTTGCGGCGAAGCAGCCACGTTGGTCGGAGCTGTGGCTGCCGTACCTGGTCTTTCAACGTGGTGAGAACCTGGTTCTGATTCGCCAGGTCTTGGCGAACCTCGGCAGTGTTGGTGGCCTGTTACAGGTGTAGTTAGGACCCAGGAGCAGTACGACAAGACCAGGACTGGTATGATTTGAGTTCTTTATTTGCAACGCACGACAAGCAGAATATTCTCTGGAAGAATCAACGACAGGTTTCTCGGGGTCAAGGACAGAAGGGCTGAGTAAGTTACCAGGGCAGAGGCAAGGCGAGGTAGTCCGGGACAGGCAGGGTCGGCAACAGGGAATCAGTCCATGGGTGAGTGCGGGAAAGTTGAGCATGAAAGCAAAGAACGATCTGGCAATGAGTGTGTCTGAGGCAGGGGTTTAAATAGTGAAGAGGCAGAGTGAGCAGGTGAGAGTGATGAGCTGATGAGGTGAGTGTGACTGGCAGGTGCACTGAATGAACTAATTAGGTGAGTGAAAGGTGGAAAAAGCTAGATAGAAGTGACAGAGCTGTGACAATCTGAGGTTTTTATTTATTTTTTAAAATTCATTATAATATATTGATCCCTTTAAGGGGGAAATTTGTCTCTGTATTTGACCCATCCCTGTATACAGGGAGCAGTGGGCTGCCAATGACAGGCGCCCGGGGAGCCTGGGGTTCAGTGTATTGCTCAGTCGAGGATCGAACCATTGACCTTGCGATTACCAGACAACCCTCTTAACCCAGTGAGCCACGGTCGCCCCATAAGGTTTCCTAGATTAGCTACATTGTGCAGGAACTAGCTCGGACAGTCAAGTCTCCACCGGTTCCAGCACCTGCACTATCCTCTCCAGTCCTCATCCCGCCGGTCCGGGAATCCACCGACAGATATTTGACCCCAGCCTCAGACTTTTGCCTCGGACAGGTCCAACGTTTCCTACATGGTCGTCACGAGTACATTGAGTATTGATCTGCCTAATACCGTGTTTTATGGGACAGCATCCTGTTCCCCGGAGCCCTGAGTCCGGTCCGCCTGAGCACCTGTGTCAGGAGCAAGTCCGGCCGTCCACCTGAGCACCTGTATCCGGAGCCCTTCTGCCCGTCCTCTGGAGCACCTGTGTCCGGAGCCTTCTGCGGCCCCGTGGCCGGTCAGATCCAGTCTTTTGGGGTGCAGGGAGCACTCCTGAGGACTTCTTCAACTCTGTGGTGGCATCAGCCATCTTTTGTAGAGTGGTCTGCTGGGGCAGCAGCATCTCGACAGCCGATAAGAAAGAGACTAAACAAACTCATCAAGAAGGCCAGCAGTGTGCTGGGTGTCCACTGGATACGGTGGAGGTGGTGGGAGACAGGAGGATGATGGCTAAACTATCATCCCTGATAAACAACACCTCCAACCCCATGCAGGACACCCTGGCAGCTCTGTGCAGCTCCTTCAGCCACCGGCTGATTCACCCCCAGTGTGTGAAGGAGAGGTACCGCAGGTCCTTCCTTCATATACATATATATATATATATATGTATATGTGTATGTATGTATGTATGTATGTGTATATATGTATATATGTGGTGTGTGAAGGAGAGGTACTGCAGGTCCTTCCTTCCCACTGCTGTCAGGCTGCACAACCAGCTGTGCTCCCAGTAGACCACACAACACTAGCACTAAACATCTGTGCAATATAAATACACCATACAATACGATTATTCTGTCTGTATATATAATATTTTTAGTTGTAGTTATTGTGGATTTTTACTTAGTTAATATTCTTTACTGTTTACTACTTATTTATAATACTTGTTTTGATACATTGTTTTTTACTATGTACCTTGTGTGCACTGTCCACTTTGCTGCTGTAACCCTGAAATGTCCCCACTGCGGGACTAATAAAGGATTATCTTATCTTGAAGACGAACTCTGGAGCCTTTCCAGGGAGGTCTATCGTCATGGGGGGGTGTGGTGGAACATCAGGTTCTCCCTGTGGGTTCCACCACTGATGAGCTGAATGTGTGGCCTTACATATCAGCAGCAGTCCGTCCAGTGAGTTGGCCTCCAGCGTCCAGACGGAGTCTCTTGGCTAAATGCCCCAATAATCCATGAAGCTCTCATCTGCCCCGGAGTCCAGAGCCGGATGAGAGAGAGTCCTGAAGGATTAATGAGTTGGACGGGAGTGAGAGCGAGAGGAGTAATCTGAGGAAATAGTACAGAGGTCCAAGGGAAGCTCCAGTGGGGCCAAGAGGTCCTTGAGATAAGAAGGAACGATAACGTTCATCCAGAAAGCCTCCGCCAAGGACGGGAAACTACTACTGATACTTTAACTACATGAAGCTTATAATACTTGTGTACTTTTACTGCTGATACATTACGCACAACAATCACACACGCACACACCTTGTTTACAAAGAGGAATAAGCTGATTTCCATTTCTGGAGGAGGTGTGAAGCTGTGAGAAGAAGGAGCAAACAAAGAGGATTCACATCCAAACTTTATTAGCTGACTGATATTTACAGAATCAACATGAAAACTCAACCCAGGTGATGAACTTAGTAAAACTCTGTAGAGTCACGGATGAGGTATGAGAAAACCGAGCCAAGATGGTGTCTGAGAAACAGAGAGGAAGATGGTGAGAGAGGAAGGACAGACTCAAACATTGTGGGCCACATTGAGGACCTACTGAAGATGGCGTTGATCTTCAAAGTTTCAAAGTTCAAAGTTTGCTTTATTGTCAATTCCACAATGTACTGGACATACAGGGGAGTTGAAAAGACGTTTCTCTCTAGTCCAACATATAAACATATAAACATAAAGTGAATACAGTGCAATAGATTAAAAAAACATTTAGACAATATATATATATATATAATAAGAGAAAAAGAACAAAAAAACTATCAATCTGTATTTAGCAGCAGTTGGACATGGGGATTTAGCAGCAGTTGGACATGGGGAGTCTTAAAAGAGAGGAGGGAGAGAGTTCAGCTTCCTAACAGCCTGGTGGACGAAGCTGTTTGAGAGTCTGGTGGTGCGAGCACGGAGGCTCCGGTATCTTCTCCCAGAGGGCAGGAGGCTGAAGAGACTGTGTGAGGGGTGGCTGGAGTCGCGCACAATCATGGTCACTTTGCGGGTGAGGCGAGTGTCGTATATGTCCTGCAGGGAGGGGAGTGAGGGGAGTGAGGCACCAATGATCCTTCCAGCTGTGTTCACTATGCGCTGCAGGGCTTTCCTGTTGTAGTCAGTGCAGCTTCCGCCCCACACAGTGATACAGTTTGTCAGGATGCTCTCAATGGTGCCTCGGTAAAAGGTGCACATGATGGGTGGTGGTGTTCTTGCCTTCTTCAGTTTGCGGAGAAAGTAGAGGCGCCTCTGAGCTTTCTTTGCCGGTGATGTTGTGTTGGCTGTCCACGAGAGGTCTTCACTGATGTCCACCCCCAGGAATTTGGTGCTGCTCACTCTCTCTATATCAGCACCATTGATCTTCAGTGGTGGGTGTTGAGTGTGGCCTCTCCGGACAATAATCTCCTTGGTCTTGCTGTTATTCCGAAGGAGGTTGTTGTCTCTGCACCACGTGGTCAGAAGGCTGACCTCCTTCCTATAGTGGGTCTCATCATCCTTGGTGATGAGACCTACCAGAGTTGTGTCGTCTGCAAACTTGACCATGTGATTGGTGCTGTAGGTTGTGGTGCAGTCGTGTCAGCAAGGTGAAGAGCAGTGGACTGAGCACACAGCCTTGAGGGTCCCCTGTGCTCAGTGTGATGCTGCTCGAGGTGTTGTTGCCGACACGTACTGCTTGTGGCCTCTCACTGAGGAAGTCCAGCAGCCAGTTACACAGCGAGGTGTTGAGCCCCAGCTGGTCAAGTTTGAAGATGAGTTTGAAGTTTGAAGATGTTTGAAGATGAGTTTGAGAAGATCTTGTGCGGGTCCAGAGCGCTGCTCTGTGAGTGGGAGGCCGGCCGGCGGCTCCGCCCCCCTCGCAGGTTACTGTTCATCAGGGTGTTCATATCAAACACACCCAGCAGCAACGTCCGCGCCATCGCCGTCGGAGAATGCGCCTGATTGGCTGCCTGCCAAGAGCGAATGTCACAGAGAACACCGGAGCCCGGATACACCTCCACCTGGCTCACCTGGAACAGGTCGATGAGGCAACGAGTGGTTAACGAGGCGTTAGGAGACAAATGTAAAACAAGGTTCAAGGTGGTCTCACCTGTACGTTAGCGGTACACTGGCTCTCAGAGCAGCTCCTCCTCAGCTCCTCCATGTCGGTCTGGCTGCAGAGCGGTGCCTCTTCTCCCATGCAGGTTCCCAGGACCAGGTCCGGCACCTCCTCGTCCTCCGAGCCCAGCGGGCCCCAGGACTCCGACATGTCCCCACTTAGCTCCTCCTGGAGCTGCTGGACGGAGACCCGGGGGCTGAAGTCTCCGTCCTGATTGGTCGCCGTGTGGTGCTGATGGGAGTATCCGGTGTAACTGTCACTCCTGCCTGTTGCCGTGGAGATGGAGTGATGACCGTTGACCTGGCCCAACGTCTGCCACATGGTGGACAGGAGTCCAGGGATTTCTATCAAATATCATCAAACCAGATGTTCAATAACTCAGTCTGAACCTGAGTGGGCTCTGATTGGTCCCCAGTAAACAGGTGGACCAGACTCACCGTTGACCAGTGTGTTCTTCAGTCTCTGTTTCTCAGCCGTAAGCTCCGCCTTTTCTCTCTCCAGCTCTCCAACCCGGGAACGCAGGAAGTAAAGCTCAGCGATCTGAGACGGCGTCAGGACCGACTCACCTGTCTCACCTGTCTCCACCTTCACCACCTGCAGGAGGAAGGGGGAGGGGTCTCAGGTTGGTGTTCGGTAATGAGGTACCAGCCTTAGATCAGGATAAAAAGAGCAGAGCAGGAGAGATTCCACAGTAAAGAGTGGGATTCTCCAGGTTAGAGACTAGCTCATACTCATTTAACAAGAAAGAAAAGGCGATTCCCCAGTAGTAGACCCTTAGGGGTCTTATCCCCTCAGAGGTGGGGAAGAGAAGACCCTTCTGCTATATACATATACATATATACATATACATATACCTATATACATACATACATACATACTCATCCAATGCATGTTCCTTACAAATGGGGCACCGTTTGAAAGGTAAATAAACAGGCTTTCCAACGGTATAACATTTATTGCCAAGAAGCATCGTTACAACAGAGAAATAATCTACCAAACACTAATTTCCGAACTTTTTGTTCGATGTTTATATAGATATATACACATGAGTGTGTGAGTGTGTGATGCGTGTGAGTGTGTGTGAGTGTGTGATGTGTGTGAGTGTGCAACGTGTCCGTCATGTCTCCGGTGCTATCCCCGGTTCTCTGACCGTGCTGAGTCTCACCGTCGGACCTGTACCGTGAGTCCGCTGCGGGACGCTGCTGTCCGGACTACGCTCTATCCGGGTCCGTCGATCCGGGGACACAATGTTATAAGAGAAACGCAAAGAAAAACGAAAAACAAGTTTATTAAAATTCAGAAATATAATCCACTTCCGATGCCGATCTCTGACGTGATTTCCGCGCAACCGCGCTGTAGTTTCTTTACTGGTTTGTAACGTTAATGTGCACGCAGTAGGACTACAATACCCAGAGTGCACCGTGGCTCGCAGAATCACAACACCAATGGCGACTGAAGGACGAAGTGACTGATGATAGGTGAGCTCTGTTCGGTTCTACTGAGTTCTACTGTGGTCTAGTGTGGTCTAGTGAGTTCTAGTGAGGTCTAGTGAGTTCTACTGAGGTCTAGTGTGGTCTACTGAGGTCTACTGAGTTCTAGTGTGGTCTAGTGAGTTCTACTGAGTTCTACTGAGGTCTACTGAGTTCTAGTGTGGTCTAGTGAGTTCTACTGAGGTCTACTGACTTCTACTGTGGTCTAGTGAGTTCTACTGAGGTCTAGTGTGGTCTACTGAATTCTAGTGTGGTCTACTGAATTCTAGTGAGTTCTACTGAGGTCTAGTGTGGTCTACTGAGGTCTAGTGTGGTCTACTGACTTCTACTGTGGTCTACTGACTTCTACTGTGGTCTAGTGAGTTCTACCGAGGTCTACTCTGGTCTAGTGAGTTCTACTGTGGTCTAGTGAGTTCTACCGAGGTCTACTGTGGTCTAGTGAGYTCTACCGAGGTCTACTCTGGTCTAGTGAGTTCTACTGTGGTCTAGTGAGTTCTACTGACTTCTACTGATGTCTAGTGAGTTCTACTGAGGTATACTGTAGTCTAGTGAGTTCTACTGAGTTCTACTGTTGTAGTAAAAGTACCACTGTAATGTCTCCAGTGCAGTAAAAGTACTACTGTTATGTCTCCAGTGCAGTAAAAGTACCACTGTTATGTCTCCAGTGCAGTAAAAGTACCACTGTTATGTCTCCAGTGCAGTAAAAGTACCACTGTTATGTCTCCATTGCTGTAAAAGTACCACTGTTATGTCTCCAGTGTATATCCGGTATAACCTGGGCCCCAGTGTGCCCGTGGAGCTCCAGGAGGAGGCGAGTGTGGCCGAGCTGAAGGAGCTGGTGGGGACTCAGCAGGGAGTCCGTTCGGAGCTCCTCAGGGTGCTGTTTGCTGGGAGGGAGCTGAGGAGCAGCTTCACACTACAGGTGAGGAGGAGCCACTGAGAGAGGAGACAAAGGAAGAGGAGTCCTCACCTCCTCTTTGTTACATTGTCATATTATCTTGTTCAATCTCTCCTCCTCTCCTTCTCCTCTCAGGGTTGTGACCTCCCGGAGCAGAGTACCGTCCATGTCGTCCTCCCTCCATCAGGTTCCTCCTCCGCCCAGCTTCTCCTCCTGCAGGAGCGCCTGGTTCGAGGAGGGGAGGACGAGCCAGAGAGTCTGGCCAGGCTGGACCTCACATCCTCACGCCTCCCTTCCACCTCCTCCGGGCTGGCGGTGATCCTGGAGGGGAGTGATGGGGGAGGAGGGGAAGGAGCAGGAGGAAGAGCAGAGGAGGCAAGAGAGGAGGTGCAGGCTGCAAGTTTGAAAGGTCAGTTAAGGTGGCCACAGTGTCTGTACTCCTGCAGTACGTATGTCAGTACTCCAGTAGTATTTTAGTAACTCTACAGTATGTCAGTATTGCAGTAGTATTTCAGGAGTCCTGCAGTATGTAAATTCTCTAGTATTTCAGTACTCCTGCAGTATGTCAGTACTCCAGTAGTATGACAGTACTCCAGTAGTATGTCAGTACTCCTGCAGTATGTCAGTACTCCAGTAGTATGTCAGTACTCCAATAGTATAACATTACTCTATTATTATGTCAGTACTCTATTCGTATGTCAGTACTCCAGTTGTATGTCAGTACTCCAGTAGTATTTTAGTACTCCAGTAGTATTTTAGTACTCCAGTAGTATGTCAGTCGTCCAGTAGTATGTCAGTCGTCCAGTAGTATTTTAGTACTCCAGTAGTATGTCAGTACTCCAGTAATTACTCCTGTCCGAGTCCCTTTATAAATCAGTAGTAGTACTCTGACTGTGTGTACTTGTGTGTACAGGTGTGCGTACCTGCAGTACTTTCTTTGTGTACTGTAAGAGCTGCAGGTCGATCCAACCAGGAAAGCTGAGAGTCTGTTGCAGCAGCTGTCGACAAACAACACTGACACTCAGCAGGGTGAGTCATTTTATATATAAATATATTAGTGCTGGGCAACGATTTGCAGTTTTCAAGGTGTATATTTAAATTGCATCTCTTACACACATGAAGATAAAGTTGTGAACACCGGCTGAATATCTATGATCAGAATCATTATAACTGTGTTATAACTGCTGCTGTGTAAAGGGAATACTGCTGCTAACAAGAACCTGATGTGTTTAAAGTGTTTAAATCAAATGTTATTGACCTTTTGTTCATATAGCAGTACTTTAAAATAAAAGTGCGCAATACACTACTTTAGAATTCATTATTGAACTTTGCCATAACAATGAGATTAATCGTGATTAAACATTGTAATCGTTGTCCAGCACTAATATATATATCTATATATATATATATATATAAGTTCCATTCAACAAATACATATACAGTATTACGTGTTTTTGTTTATATAAACACACTCCGGAGTACAGGTGTGTTAATGTGTGGTGATGATGGTGATGATGATGAAGGTGTCCTCTCTCTCAGGGTCCCTCCTGTTGGGACGACGTCCTACTTCAAGGTCGTGTCCATGGCTTGTGTCAATCAGACGGTTGTCACGGCAACGAAGCGGTAAGGGGCCGTCAGAGTTCAGTTTCATCCAGCAGCATTCTGGGAGATGTAGTGTCTTCACTCTGTGTCTGTCTCTGTGTGTGTGTGTGTGTGTGTGTGTGTGTGTGTGTGTGTGTGTGTGT